CGTGGCAGCTGCCTCCACCTGCCGGGCCGCTCCCCACCCGCCGATGGCAGGAAGCTCACTCCTACCTGATGACGGCACTGCCCCCAGCGAGGCCCAGAGACTGCAGGGTGGTGCTTCGAAGGGCGGCCTCTCCCGCCATCTGCAGAGGCACATGCAAAGTGGCCCTCACCTGGACCCAAGGCCACCATACCATGGACAGAGTCCCCCCCCAGGCAGCCCAGGGGGCCTAGCTGTCCCCACCCCACATCCACCCCCACGCTGAGTGCACCTCCTGGCCCGGCACTGGTATCACTAGCCCGCCAGACCCACCACTGCTACACCCCACGCCTGTCCCCTGCTAGAGGGCCTGCCAGCACTGGGGGAGGTCCCTGACCGCCTCCCCGCCCAGCTGCTCGGCTGAGCACTGCACCCACTGGAACCAAAGCCGGTGGCTCTGGCAAGGTGGCCCACACCTTTAAGACGGGTGCCCGGCAGTGGGAGAGGGCCGAACTAGGCTGGGGACAGGGAGCTGAAGATGCATAGGTACTGCGCAGCCCGCCCTTCGGGTCAGGCTGCTCCGGGAGGCAGGCACACACCTGGGCCAGCCCTCCACCCTGCACCCCAAGGCCACAGCCTCGCTCAGGTCACCCGGTGGGCCCAGGAGTCTCTCTGAGGGAATCCACCTGTCTGCTGGCCAGCGTAGGCTGGAACACCCACTCCTCAAAAGCCCCTGGGTCAGTAGGCCCCCAAACCAAAAGGCCCAGTCTTCTGGGCTCAGAGGATCTGGCTGTACCCACACCCGGCTCCCTACCCCCAGCTCTCCTGCTGGACAGAGCAGGTCTCCTGGCCGGTGCTGGCTGGGAGATGCCACCTACCCTATGTCCGCCCCCCCAGAGGCCATTCCTGACAGCTCAGGGTCAACGGCTCAGGCTGAGGAGTCAACTGGAGCCCTCGGGCACGGGAAGCCCAGGATCCAGGGGGCACCAAGGGTCCAGCCTGGGTCCCCAATGCTCAGCAGGCCATGCCCGGGGAGGACGCTGCCCCACACTCCAGCACCCCTCCCCTCACGCTGTCACACCCCGGGCAGTGCAGCCTGCAGCTGGGATGAATGGAAGGTGTGGCTTGTCCAAGGCAGGGCCACTCGGGGCCCCTCAGGGACAGTGCCCCCCAGCCAGGGAAGGGCACCTGGCCAGGACAGAAACAGAAGTGCCTGTGAGGCTGGAGGACGGGGTGCTGGGAGGGCCCCGCCGCGGCGGGCGGACCTGGCCCTGCTGCCAGACTGCGCCTCAGCCATGCTGTGCTGGTTCTGAAAAGATCAAAACGCAGAGCAAAGCAAATATTTACTGAAATGAAACCACTTTTGTGACTCGTGGGCTTTGAGAGAGGCTGAAAAAATAAACAGGGCGTTGAGGGAGGTTTCGGGAGCGGCTGCGGCCGAGGGGCGGCTCCAGCAGGCGGCAGCGCCGCCTTTTTTCCAGCGAACACACCAGGCTTTGAAGGGCCCGGGCCTCCCGGCGCTCTCACGGCCGGGGCGGGCAGGTTTCCCAGGCCGGCAGTGGCACCTACCTCATCCCTCATGTACACGCACACCGGGACCGCCTCGTCCGACCGCTGCAGCCACTCCCTGGAGGAGAGGGAGAGACACTGGAGCTCGCTGGGGCCCAGGCCAGCCCCGACAGACTCGGGAGGTGGGAGGTCCGAGGCTGCTACCCTCAGCCCAGGACACTGCTCAGTCCCAGGCTTCCACCCTCAGCCCAGGCAGCCCTGTCCAGGCCGCCCTTTCTAGGCTCCCACGTGCAGCCCACGGAGGACGGACGCAGCCTGAGCTGGAGAGCCAGCAGACAGCACAGCCATCCACACAGGGCCTGGGAGGCTTCCCCCCTGCCTCTGGCATCCAGACTCAGGCTCCGAGAACAGAACTGGGAGGCCTGCACCAAGCCCAGCACCCCTCCCCCGACAGGGCACAGCAAGAACAGTGTCCGTGGGCAAGGAGCTGCCATCGGGGCCCAGGTTCTGGACCTGAGTCTTACCCCGCAGCCACCCTCAGTGCATCACCCAGCCCTGGCACCGCCAGACAGCTTGGCACAACGCAGCAAATCAGCTCTGGGAACTGGCTCCCACAGTCATGGCTCGAGTCCCAGGCCTGCACATGTGTGTGCCCCAAATCCTGAGATGACAGTGAGGGGGAGAGGACTACAGTATGGCCACGCCCCGGGTTCTCACTGCCCCTCGCCCCGTCTTTCTCCAGGACACGCACATGCCTCGTAGCACAATTATTTTAAAAAATGCAAAGGGGGGACCAGCAGTTGGCATGATGGCTAAGTCCCTGGGCTCCCATGTAGTCAACCGCAGTTTGAGTCCTGGACCCGGTGACTTAAACTCACGCTGGGCGCGTGTGCGTGCGTGCGTGCCCAAGATCCCAAGAGGAGAAAGGAGGAAAAGGGACTGTGGCGTGGCCATCCCCCGGGGGGTGATTTCTCACTTTCTCTCTGTCTCTGTCTTTCTAGTGAGCACACAGGCCCTATAGCAAAAAATAAATAAATAAATAAAGCAAATGGGGGACCGGCAGGTGAAATGGTGGTTAAGGCACTGGACTCCCACATGGCTGACCACAGTCTGAGTCCTGAGCCTGGCAGCTTGCTTTCTCTCTCTCTCTCTCCGGTGAGCATTATGTGCCCTAAGGCAAACTGAAAAACAATAATAAATTAAGCTAAGTAAATAATTTTTAACGCAAATAAGTTCCAAGCACAGGCCTCAGCTTGAGGGCGTGAGGGCAGCAAGCAGGACGGGCAGGGTCTTCTTGCAGGGCCACAGCTCGGGCCTGCGGTTCTGCGCCTGAGCGCCTGGCCAGGCAGGGCCGCGTGGAGGCTGCTCCCACCGCCCCAGCTGTGCCCAACACGGGGGTGAGCTGCTGGCTACGTGGTCAGGAAAGGCAGGCTGGGCTTCCCAGGGTCATCCAGGCCAGTTCCTCTCAGGATGTCCAGGGGCTGGGCTGGTGGGCAAGCCCAGAGCCAGGACCGAACTCAGGCCCTGCAGCACTGCCCTGGTGGGCATCACGGGCTCGAGGGCTTGAACAGGGACTGGGGGCAAGGAGGGCAGCTGAGCGGCGACCGGAGGTGGGGCCCACGGGCTGGCTGAGCCCCAGACAGCAAGTGCCCCAGATGCTAACGCCACACACACGTG